ATTTTAAGAACTCTAAAATACATACCTTTAAGAGAGGGACAGGTATCTTGGCTATAGCAGTAGGTCCACCAAGAGTGTTGTGGCTCCGGCCTTGACACACACGTCCACGGTATCCCTGATGCCCCACGTGGCCTTTCTGTCTGAGTGGACAGAACGAAGGGGTCCGCTCCATGTCCTTGAGTCCTGTCTCACACGGTCCACAATGTCTGTCTACCCATGGCCCAGATGGGAGAAGGTGTCTGCTCCACAGCTCACATGGGAGTGGGCGGGGCAGACCCCTCAGAAAAGAAAGATGGCACCTCACATGTCCCCCAGCACGGGCTCCTTGGAGACAGCCATGGGTACGTCTGGAGTCGCTGGAGGAAACTTTCCAGAAGCTGTCGAACAGGCGCACTCCTGTTGTCAGCTGATAATTGAAGAGAAAAACAAGTGAAAAATGAAAATTGAATAGAAAACTGAAAATTGAATAAAAAATGAAAATTAAATCAAAAAATGAAAATCAAACAGAAAGCTCTTGGTCCATAGTGTTTACCATTTGCTTCTTCACAGCTCTGTGTCAGAACTGGGACACCAAGCTCCATCAAGACCCAGCCTTGGCTCCCACAAAACTCAGCTGGGTGGGAAGGGGGCACTGACACTGTCGGTCCCACATTCCCTTAAAAAGAAGCACGAGATGGAGCCGCCACTTGTCAGTGCATTTCCAGCACCTACTGTTCTTGTGCCTGACAGGCCCACCCCGTGTGCTGCCTGTGCACTCTGGAGAGAACTCATGCAAGTGGGGGGGGTGGCCAGGTCCCCCTCCAGGCATAAATCCCTGAGAGCCAAACCCAAGGAGAAATATCTGGAGTGTGTGTGTGTGTGTGTGTGTGTGTGTGTGTGTGTGCTGAGCATTCCAGAACCTTCTTTAAAGTGCCAGCATGACCACAGGGCCGCTGCTTGTCTAGATGCCTGTCCCCAGCATGTGCTCCTGCCTGCCCTGTCCCACAGCCTCCTGCTCAGGCACCTGTTTCCCTGTCTCTGGGAGGGGACGGCCTTTGCCGTTAAGCATGCACACGTGCCTGAGTCACAACAAATCCTGTGCACAATGATGAATGCCAGGTTCTAAAAGGCCAGGGCTGTTGTGTGCATATTGAAGCCAGATGGGACCCTGCAGATGGAACTCAAGACACAAGCAGCCCCAGACTTCCTTCTTCCCAACTCGGGGTCCCTCTGAAGTGACAGCAGAGCCACCATCTGGGCCTTCAGAGCCCCCTTCCCTGACAGGGGCTAGCTGTTACTTTGTTGCTGTTCGTGTCCCCTTATCAGCCTCGCCACTATCCTGACACTGTCATTGATCGTTCAGGGCAGATAAAAAAAAATCCCAGGCTGGACCCGCCACACGTGGATGGCATCTGTGGCATCCACTTTTCACTGGTCTTCAAAAGCACAGAAATCGCTTTTCCTGGGTTCAGACAAAAAAGGAAAACTTTCAATAACCACAGGCAGTCACTGGCCAGGCCCTGCCCACTCTTGGTCTAGGTCAGCTGAAGGTGGGAAGCTCAGGTCCAGGTTACCCCTGGTGTGGGCCCTGGGAGAGAGCGTGCTAATTCTCCTCCTTCCCCCTAGGAAGTAGGGGGAGCCCGACCAACCCCCTGCTTGCCAAGGACAGGCTCTGACGCTTGTCGGGGAGCCTCTGAGAAGCTGGACACCTGGCCAGGATGTGTCCAGCAGGCTCTCCCTGGCCAGTCCCTGGGCTGCCTCCACCTCCACTTTCTTCCCAGGAGCAGGGTCATTGGCCTCCCACCCTGGGTTGCACGCAGAGCACCCCCCACCCCCCGCTGGCTTCTGGCACTCTTCCCTGTCACTTCCTTCTTTCTTCACCACCAAGCCATGAGCTCCAAGTCCCCTCCAGGCCTCTCATCTTTGCTGAGAGCAAGAATGGGACCCAGGAGTGTCACCTGCCAAGGCCCTCCTCTGGATGCTGCCCTGCCTGCTGCTGACACGGTACAGCTGCTGCAGGACCACGTGGAGGGAGAGAGGCAGAGTCACAAGACATTTCCCTGGGCTGGCGCTGTGGTGCAGCAGGTGCAGTGCTGGGCATCCCATATGGGCGCTGGTTCTAGTCCCACCTGCACCTCTTCTGATCCAGCTCTCTGCTATGGCCTGGGCCAGCAGCACAAGATGGCCCAAGACTTGGGGCCCTGTCCCTGCACGGGAGACTCAGATGAAGCTCCTGGCTCCTGGCTTCAGGCTGCCCCAGCGCTGGCTGTTGTGGCTATTTTGGGAGTGAACCAGCAGAATAACATCTATCTCTGTAACTCTTAGAAATAAAAATAAATCAATCTTAAAAAAAAAGAGAGACAAAGATCCTCCAAGTTCCCAGCAAAGCCAGTGCATTTTCCAATTTTTTCCCCCTAGACTGGGCCAGGATTCCTCACCTGGAATAAGGACCCCTTCTGTGCCCCAGATCCAGTAAACATTTCAGGGGCCAAGTGCGTGGTCCCAGCCCCACCCCCACCTCTGTGCCCAGGCCCACCTCCCCAGGGGTCCCTTGGACCCTGAATGCCGGGACTCCACCCACCATCCCCCTGAACCTCCTCAGTTCCTGTGCCCCGCCCACCTCCCCAGGAGTCCCTGCACCCATGAAGCCCGGGACCCTCCCACCATCCCCCCTGTAACCCCCTTAGTTTTCGGCCTCGCCCACCATCCTGGACCCTCGAAGCCCCACTCCTGGGACGCAGCCCACCATTCAGGGACTTGCTTCAGCTTCAGTCCCCGGGACCCCACCCATCTGCCCAGAACCCCCTTAGGTCCCTGCCCGGAAACCACCCCCAGCCCCTCGGCCCCACCCACTACCCCAGGACCCTCTAAGCCTCATACCTGAGACCCTGGCCACATCCAGCCGTGACGCGCCTCACCCATTATTCTGGGACCTTGTAAGTTCCATGCCCGGAACCCTGCCCACCACCCAGCTGGGTTCCCTAAACCCCCGGGCCCCGCCCACTATCCCGGGACCCTTAATTTAAGCCCCATGCTGTTACCCAGGCCACATCCAGCCTGGACACCCTTCACCCACTCTCCGGGGGACCCTGTAAGACCCACGCCCAGAACCCCGCCCACCACCCAGCTGGAACGCCTAGGCCCCCAAGTCCCGCCCACTCTCCCGGGACTCCGCCCGTCTCCTCAGAACCCCCTCAGGCCCGTGCTCAGGACCCCCGCCTCAGCCCCCGAGCCCCGCCCACTACCCGGGACCACTCCTCACCCGCCCCGTGCCGGGACCCGCGCTCCTAACGTCCCCGGGCGCGTTAAACAGCGCCGCCGCCTCACCCTCGTCCGCGGAGCGCCACCCTGTCTCCTGCTTCTGGCCCAGGGCGGCCCGCTCTGGTGGGGAGGGGGCGCCGCGCCGGGAGCAGCAGCGAGGGCCGCCGAGCGCTTCCGGGTCAGAGGGCGCGCGGCGCGACGGGACGCGCTCGGGGCAAATTCAAAGGCGGAGTCAGCGGCGGCGGTGGGCGCGGGGCTCCAGCGGGGTCCGCTCTGCTTGCGGCGGCGCCGTGGAGGAGGCCGTGGGCGACCTGAAGCAGGCGTCGGCCTGCGTGGCTGACCCCACCTGAGGGGCGCGGCCCCCAGCACCGCCAGGGAGGCCCGGCAGGCCCGATCCGAGGAGACCCCCCCTCCCGCCGCCGCCCCGATCTGGCTTCATCTGAAGGAGCAGGAAGTTGGGTGTAGGAAGGTCCAGCATTAGGAAGAGCAGGAAACCCGGTGACGTCACGGCGGTGACGTCACAACGTTTCTCAGGGCCTTTCCCACGGATTTGCCGTCTTTCCATCCTCAGCCTGTCTCCCTCCCTGTGACTTGGAGCCCGGGAAGGACTCGGTTCTGCCTGTCCTGGGCGGTGGGCAGCGGGGTCGCGTAGACCTGCTCCGTTGCGTTGGCTGCGCTCACTCCCACTCCAGGATGCGGGAGAAGATCCCTCCTCTACCAGCTGTTTTGGGGCACAGTTCTGGGTGCTGCACGGAGTTGCAGTGGGGTCCAGAGACGCCTACGCGCCAACCGCAGGGGCGTTCAGATCAGAGACCTCTGCACAACCGCACTAGCTATGCACTGGGGACAACACAGGGCAGGCACAGAGGTGTGACATCGAACTGCTTGTGGGCCGGCGCTGTGACTTAGTGGGCTAAGCTGCTGCCTGCGGTGCCGGCATCCCATATGGACACTGGTTCGAGTCCCAGCTGCTCCACTTCTGATACAGCTCTCTCCACTCCCAATCTCCTCTCTCCCTCTGTTTCTCTGTTTATATGCTTTTCAAATAAATAAGCATCTTTAAAAAAAAACTCCACTCCTGTGTTTATCATTACATATCGATATGGATTCATAATTGATAGATGATAATAAACACATTTACTAAAGAACATGATGGAGTATATTCCAGAAGGCGCCTGTTGTGCACTGTTGAGGGAGACACTTGGATCTGAAACAGACACAGGACCCTAAAGGAGAGAATCAAAGCCAATGACCAGTTAGAAAACACACAGATGTATTAAGTTCCACTATCAGGAAGAGCTGTTAGTGATATACCCAGGAATGAAGAGATAAAGGAGAAAGACTGTGGTCTCAGATTTTCTTAACCTACATTCAGTAAATGACCTCAGTTGCCAGCTGTAGTCTGACTGTAGGAGTTGCAAAACACATAACATGTTTTTCAGTAAAACAAACAAAAATCTACTCCGTATGAACACATCATGTGTAGAGAACTTATTTTGATAGCCTACCATCCCATGAGACAATGGTGAATTCCAACCATTTCTGTGTTTGGGAAGTCTTTGGAAAGCAGGAAAGTAATAAAGGAAAGATGTTTAGATACTGAAGAGAACAGAATGCATAAGGAGCAAGTTGCTTAAATTAGACAGGTGGAAATCAGAGTAACACCAACTCCAGGAACCAAAATGAAGGAGAAAATTCTACTTTCACAATCTGGTCATGGAATCAGGATGTCTGGTCCAGGCATTTGAGTCCTACAATTATCAGTGCTTCCTTAGCTCCAGAGCAATGGACTCTTGTATAGTTTCCAGAGCCTTTTTTATGTCTTTATTCCTCAGACTGTAGATGAAGGGGTTCAGCATGGGGGTGACCACAGTGTACATCACCGAGGCCATAGCAGTTGAGTGTGAGTTGTGGGTAACAGCTGAAGTGAGGTAGACACCTAGACCTGTGCAATAAAATAAGGAGACAACGGACAGGTGAGAGGCACAGGTGGAGAATGCTTTATACTTCCCCTGAGCTGAGGGGATTGCTCGGATGCAGGAGATGATCTTAGAGTAGGAGCACAGGATCCCAGCCAGTGAACCAACAGCCAGCAGCACAGGTATGAAGTATAAGACCATGTCATTAAGAAAAGTGTCAGAGCAGGCAAGTTGGGCCACCTGATTCAGTTCACAGAAAAAGTGATGGATTTCCAGGGGCACGCAGAAGGACAGCCACAGCACCATTAAGCTTTGTAACAAGGCATGCTGGACACTGATGACCCAGCACACCAGGACCAGCTGCACACAGAGCTGGGGGTTCATGATGACCATGTAGTGCAGGGGGTGACAGATGGCCACAAACCTGTCATAGGCCATCACGGCCAGGAGAAAATTGTCCAGCTCTGCAAAAAGCAGGAAGAAGAACATCTGGGTGATGCAGCCTGCATAGCTGATGGCTTTGCTCTGCGTCTGGATGTTCACCAGCATCTTGGGGACGGTGGTGGAGGTAAAGCAGATGTCCACCAAGGACAGGTTGGAGAGGAAGAAGTACATGGGTGTGTGGAGGTGGGGGTCTGAGAAGATGGCCAGGATGATGAGCAGGTTCCCAGCCACAGTGACCAGGTACATGGAGAGGAAGAGCCCACATATAAGGGGCTGCAGCTCTGGGTCCTCTGAGAATCCCAGGAGAAGGAATCTTGATGTTTGTGAATCATTCCCTGATGCCATTGGTTGAGACGACTACCAGGAAAGAGATAATTACATGATCACTGAGGAGCCATTGCTCACATTGGGGAAATTCTACCATTTATATGTTGCAGGCAAGCACTGATTTATATACACTGTGCATGGATCTGGACCCATGTAGAACTCATTTAGGCCATTTGAAACTTCTTATTAGCATCTCTGAGCAGAGTTTCCTCCCCACTTAGCATTTTCCCTAAAGTGCATGTATGTATTCTACTATTTTAATAAGTAATGATTTCCTACAGTTGAACTATATAAATTGACTTCCAATCATGTTTCCAAGCACTGGCCAGTCAGAAGTCTAATATCCTGGAAGAACAAAGTTGTCTACATCCCAGTTGTGGGCAGCCACAGGTAGTCGCTCCCTTTGTTTACACCTTCTAGTTCTGTTTCAGAGAAATTCATCATGCATTTCCATGATCTATAGTTGCCCTACCTTGCAACAGAACCCAGCAATGACTTATTTCTCCCTAACTGTAACCTAGTGAGAACAGAACAAGCTTTCTCCACCTCTGGCCCATATTTCCCTTTCTATTCTCTAATATCCACCATTAGACTTTATCATTGTGTTTGAAAAGGCAACCACTGATTTGAACAGGATTCCTTCTACGTATCATATGTTGATTGAGTTCTTGTCTGAGTAACATTGTCACCTTGGAATAATGATTCCAGGTAACTCAGCTTGAACACTGTTCTCACCTCACAGCAGGTGCACACAAGCACACAAACACACAGAGACAAACACAGACACAGGTACTGTGGCCTTTTGGGGCTGTGTTTGTACTGTGCCCTTCTCATTCCTGGCTGCACGGATAGGGCAATGCATGGACATGACACACGCAGGCCAAATCAAGTTCTTTCCTACAAAAATGTGTAAATGCCACCCACAAGTCCCAGCTTGAAAACCTCCCATGGGGGCCGGCACTGTGGTGCGGAGGATTAATGCCCTGGCTTGAAGCACCGGCATCACATATGGGTGCTGGTTCGAGACCCGGCTGCTCCACTTCAATCCAGCTCTCTACTATGGCCTGGGAAAGCGGCAGAGGATAGCCCAAGTCTTTGGGCCCCTGCACCCATGTGGTAGACCTGGAAGAAGCTCAAGGCTCCTGCCTTGGATCTGCATAACTCCGGCCATTGTGGCCAACTGGGGAGTGAACCAGTGGATGGAAGACTTCACTCTCTCTGCCTCTCCTCTCTCTGTGTAATTCTGACTTTCAAATAAATAAATAAATCTTTAAAAAAAAAGAAAACCTCCCATGAACAGATAAACCCTGGACTCTATTCTGGTAAGGTCATTTCACCCTTTTATTTTTGTTCATTTTTATTTGAAAGGGAGAGAGAGGGAGAGAGAGGTAGAGAGAGGAGCTGGCATTGTGATGATGTGGAGTTAAGCCTTGGCCTGCAATGTATGCATCCCATTTGGGTGCTGGTTCAAGACCTGGCTGCTCCACTTAGGATCCAGCTCCCTCATAATATGCCTGGGAAAGCAGCAGAAGATGGCCCAAGTGCTTGGTCACCTGTGTCTATGTCTATTTGGGGAGTGAAACAGCAGATGCTAGATTCTCTCTCTCTCTCTCTCTCTCTCTCTCTCTCTCTCTCTCTGTCTCTATCTCTTTCTGTAACTCTGCCTTTCAGATAAATAAATAAGTCTTTAAAAATGTGAGCAGGAAATGAATCTAATGTTATCACTGTACTTATGTGAAGATCCCAACATGAGTGGAAAAGCTGATGTTGAGTGAAGAATAAAGAATAATTGATGCCAAATGATGGTGGAGGTGATGCAACCTTCAGAAACAGATAAAAGTAGAAAAGCACAGAGACACCGTAGGAAATAACAGGAAGAGAGGATGGATACACATATACACAAGATTATTTGTCAGCTTAATGAGGTCAAGAACACTCTGCATCAACAAAGCAAAGGCAGGGATAGGGCAGTAAGACAGCCTTATGGACCTGTAACACACTTGACTATCCCTCAAACACTCACACACACACATGCACACACATTCACACACATACATGCACACACGCACACTCTCACATACACATGGGCACACCCACACACATGCATATGCACACACACATACACACATGCACACACATGCACACACATACACTCACATACCCACCATAATACACACTCACACACATGTGCACACCCACACACGCATGCACATTCACACCCCCTATGTTCTCAGTTTGAAAGACAATCTCAAAAAAAAAAGACAGTCTCTTTGTCAGAATCTGTCTCATCACCAGAAAATATAATTCTGCATCACTTCAAAAATTAAAAACAGCAGATCTGGATGTCTGGTGCTGCATTTAAGATGCTGCCTGGGACACCCACATCCCAGATCAGGTTGCCTGAGTGTGAGTCGTGGCTCTGCTTCTGATTCCAATGTCCTGCTAATGGACCCTCTGGGAGGTTGCAATGATGACTCAGCTACATGGATTTTCTGCCAGTCACACAGGAGACCCACACTGAGTTCTGGGCATGGGACTTCTTTGGCCTGGCCCAGTCTTAGCTGTTGTAGACATTTTCAAAATGAACCAGAGGAGAGTGACTCTCTCTTTTGTTTGTATGTCTTTGTCTATTTCTTTGTGTTTCTTCCTCAATCAAGTAAAGATAAATAAATATTAAAACAGAAATGCCCTCAATTACCTGTCTTTCCCTCCAGAGCTGCCACCCTCTTTCTTTTTTTATTTCACAAGAAGAGTCATAGATAGTGAGAGAGAGAGACAGAGAGAAAGGTCTTTCTTTTCCACTGGTTCACCCCCCAAATGGCTGCTACGGCTGGCACTGTGCTGATCTGGAGCCAGGAGCCAGGTGCTTCCTCCTGATCTCCCATGTGGGTGCAGGGACCCAAGCACTTGGGCCATCCTTCACTGCCCTTCCAGGCCACAGCAGAGAGCTGGACTGGAAGAAGAGCAACTGGGACTAGAACCTGGTGCCCATATGGGATGCCGGTGCCGCAAGGCAGAGGATTAACCAAGTGAAACAGAGCGCCAGCCCCACCCTCTTTCTTTAATTGTTTTTTTTAAAGATTTTAATTATTTATTTCAAAGGCAGAGTTACAGAGAGAGGGATACACACACACGGAGAGAGAGAGAGATCTTATATCTGCTAGTTCACTCCTGAAATGGCTGCAACAGCTGGAGCTCTGCCAATCCAAAGTAAGGGCCAAGAGCTTCTTCTGTGTGTCCCGCATGGGTGCAGGGGCCTAAGCACTTGGGTTATCTTCTGCTGCATTTCCAGGTGAATTAACATGGAGCTCAATTGGAAGAGGAGCAGCTGGGACTAAAACCAGCACCCATTTGGGGTGCCGGCACTGCAGACAGAGACTTAGCCCACTACGCCACACTGTTAGCCCTACTGTCTTTCTTTACACCCCTTAATTGCCAAGATTCTTGGATCCCTGTTCTATTTTTACTATAACTGCTTTGTGCTTCTCAATTCCTGCTCCAACAGGCTTCCATTAGGACCATCTAATTGTCAACAATAAATCCTGCGTTGCTGGTTTCAGTAGGCACTCCTGTGTTTTGACACCATGAATAATTACAATAATTAAGCATGCGAGCAAACGAACACCCCAATCTCTCTATCTGAAATAGACTGGATTGGCTATCAGGTGACCTTGGGTAAGCGTTCTCAACTTCCACTCTGGGCCTTTCCTGCAGGGCCTGCTGGGCTCTCAGACTCACCTGCATGGGTTCTCTGGGAGGAAGGTCTCTGGGCAGAGGTGTGACTCCTCCAGGGATGGATGATGATGGACACTGAAGTTCTGTCCCACACAGACAGCAGGAAGGAGTCAAACATCAGTCCCTGAGCCAGATGAAGATTGCGGTGAATTTACAGCTCCCTGTCTGCACAGTAGGCACATCTTCCTCCTGAGGCTCTGACCTATGAGCACCTGATTTCCCCGTCGGGACCTTGGCCTCTGCAGAAAATTTCTGGCCGATCCTCTGTTCCCAACAGACCAGTTGAAGTCATGTGTGCTCAGAGCTGATTATTCCTTCTCTGTGGATTCTCCTGCCTCCCAGAGGGCAAAGCTTTCAGCCACTGACCCTATTTGATTCAACACTTTCTCCAGAATGCAAGATGGAAGATCTTCAAGAAATCTCTAGGGTTCTCCAATCCAACAGTTTGGTTGGGGGCGCAGCTGCAGGCATGTCAGGAACAATGGCATTTCCCTCTTCAAGAAGGGGAAAACTGTTTCTCTATGTAAAACAAGGGGTCTTCACTTATGAGTTAGAATTTTTTATAACAATTTATTTTTTTATAAATACAACTTTAAGAATATAGTGGTTCTTCCCACTATACCTGCCCTCCCCCCATGAATTAGAAATTATATTGTGTTTTAGCAGCTGTCAGTTTTCCATATGTCTGTGAGTTAAAAGAGAGATACTTGTATTTTATTTAATACAATGTATGAGGGACACTGAGCATTGGGTACATGTATACACTGTGTCATGATCAAATCAGGGAAATTAGCATATCAATGAAATGACCTTAAACAAGGAGCATTTCTTTGAAATGGGAGCATTCAGAATCCTCTCCTGTAGCTATTTTGGAATATACTGAGCCTTATTGTTAGCTGTAGTCATCCTACTGTGCAGTAGACACCAGAATTTATTCCTCTTGTCCATCAGAATCTTGTACCAATTGACCAAGAACTCCCCAGTCTCCTCTTCTACCTACACTCCCTGGCATTTGCTAACCACTCTTTCCTTATCTATTTCTATGAGACCAACTCTGCAAGTTTCTACTTACCAGTGAGTCATGTGGTATTTATCCTTCTGTGCCTGGCTTATTGTACTTATCCTGATGTCCTCCATGTTGTCTAGAATGACAGAATGTCCTTCTTCCACTAGCTGAATAGTACACCATTGTGTATTAACACACAAAAATCAACAACTTTTCTATACACTGAAATACCATGGTTGAGAAAGAACTTCTAACATCAATCTTATTCAGAAAAGCT